CTCTCTCTGCTCTTGTGGAACTGCAGTAAAACATCTTGGATACCCCAAGTATGCAGCTCTTACAATACTGGAGCCAATTGTCAGGAAGCACATGGGATCCATTCACTTCAACAAGCTTTCTCTGGACAGGTATGTCCCAGTTGCTTGACTTAGGCTGCAATAGAGGTCTTTTCCTTTGAACTATGGAGCACCTATTCCAAGTGGTGGTGGTGTAGCTATGACAGCTTAAGGACATCCCAGAAATAATAAAAAATAGGATCCCACTCCATAAACCCTCATCATTCCAAAGCATCTTTAAAGTTATGTTGTAAACCAGCATAATAACTTTATATGACCATAAAGTCTCTGCTAGGATTTCCTTTAGAAACTAATTTTATTACTAAGGCCCAAGGACCTTGACATCAAACCAGCAATTCATTGCTCCAAGGACTTAGTCTTGTAGCTGCTCACAACACAGCCCTGAATTAACTTCTAAGACCAGAGCTTGAAGGCAGTAAACAACTTTAACCTTTTCTCAGCCCCAGACACATCTCACAAACAGGAGTTCAGTAAATGCATAAAGTTCACTTTAACCCATGTGCAGACATTCTAAGATCTAATTCATTCTTCACTTTCTGAATTTTAAGAAATTTTTTATAGTAAGAAATGGGCAAGTATTACAGCACTTGTGCCAAGGAGCTGTCAGATAAGGCTGGTCCTCTGCTGAGCCTTGCTCTTTATGAAAGACGAGCACCAGAGAACATCATAGGGAAAAGCAGAAAACTGGAGTCATTTACCTAAGTACCTGCAAGGATGTGACTGTAAGTACTGTAAAGTCCTATGATTTTATCAAAATATTTGAAGCATCTATTTAAAGTTCTAACTAGGGAATCACAGTTTCATGCTAATCTTTTTTACCTTTTTCTTATAGGAACTTTGAGTCTTCCTGGTGAGGTAAAAACATTAATTCTTGAAGATCAACCAGAAAAAAATAAAACTAATTTCTTCACATTCAGCATTTTATTTTTAAAAAATAACTCTTCATTTGATCTAATAAAGAGTGAGGACTCACAACTTTGGAATTTTTGGGACCACCATTATGGAAAGCAGTTGTTCTGTCAGCACATACTGGATCTGCTCAAGGAATCCTCCTGGATTCAAGGAATTATGAAACCTATTTTGTCAATAGGCTTCTCCATATCACACAAGACCTCATACAATCAATCAATACTTAACTTTCATACTCATACTGCTCCCAGAGAGGGACAGAATTCCCCATGTCAGTTATCCTGTCTCAAAGCGAATCTGCAGCCTCTTGCACCTCTTTTGACTAAGGCAGCTATGTATATGCCGCCTGGATCCAGCCCAGATGCTTTATTTCTATTGCATGAGATGATTAATTATGTGGTTTCTCTCTGTTTGTCTGATAGAGGCTGAGGTAAGGGAGTGATGGTTGCTTAGTGTACTATTATTAAAAAGCTCCTTTTGATAGCCCTGAACAGGCTTGAGTTGAGTGCCGCAACTAATCATAGAGCTGCTTACTTGGAAATGTAATGCTTGTTAATACTATACTGTACTTTTAGAAGTAAACTCATTTTTGATTGGCTAGAGTTTAATCAGTAATTAAGGGTCAGCCATCCAGTAAACTCATTAGTTTACACCAATTACATTTGGTATAGTAACTAATGATTTCAAGGATCAAGCCATTTATTTCTAAGCTTTCAAAGTATAATTATTGTGTAAATCAGATAGAGTGTAAATCTTTTCCATACGTTTTGGTTGGTAATTGAGAAATAAAATGGTTTCCAAATGTATTCTCTGTCCAGTTTTTGTTCTACAGTAGATCTCTCTGGGGACTCTTTAAAGTATATGGAAAAGGTGATGTCAACAGAAGTGTACGCTGGGCAAACTGAGACAGCATTAGTTAATAGAGATGAAAGAGAAAAGCCAGTCCCTTGCAACTCATGGTCAAGGCCTGAACGTGGACATCACACCTTAAATGACAGTTTACAATCCTAAGCATGAGTCACGCAGATTGACAAGTATTCAAAATACAAGAGAATAAAAAATCCTGTATGTTTAATATATTACCTTCCCAATATGCAATCTTTAAGATGGTGTAATCTCTGGAGCATTTTCCTTTGAAGTGTAATATATAGTTCCTCACATCCATATAACATTTTCAACACGTTAAACAAATTAGTCTCTGGTTACAGAAGTTTTTAGACATTTACAAGTTGCTGTTCAAGTAAATTTAATATGTGCCAGCGAAGTTGCTCATGCACTTGTTCAGTTAGAAAAATGCACATTTGGAATGATTAATAAATAAACCAGCCTTTCCTATCCCTTCAACTTCGGTGTTTATTTGAAAGCAATCTACTTTAAAAAGACATTAATATCCCTAGAATTATTATTAGAATAATTGCTTTTACTCTTCTTGGAACAAACATTTTTTCTTATTTCCCTTCAGCACAGACAGCTTTTGACTCAGATATAAACTTCCTATTATTATTCCCCACTCCCCACCCCAAAAATGAAGAATAGGAATTATACACTTTTCACTAAGGAATAATTAATTTGTCTCAAGTATTAGAACAGAGAACTGTAGAATGACTTTGAATGGTAGTCTCTAAGGAGTAGCATTGTTTGTTCTCTTCGGTCTTTAATGAGCTTTAGTAAATGGCCAGGAAAAATTACCTTCCTTCTGTAATATGAGAGAAGCGAAGAATGAAGGAAGCTATAGAATCCCTACGAGAAAAGGGAGCAGACACACACACACACACACACACACACACACACACACACAGAGCTCCCTGTACCACATCGTTTCCAATGGTTAGTGTTCTCCTTTGGAAAGGAGCACTAGAGCTCTATTTTTTTCCATTACAGTAAAAACATATAATGTCCCTAATATTTTTGTAGGAGAGAAAAAATTCCTGGATGTCTCCCACATACTGACGGTGTCTGGCTTGTGTTGGGGGACAACTGCCTATAGCTGAGCTCTGGAAGTCATTCTGGCTTTCCCTGCTTGGCATTGATTTTGTCTTTTAAGATTCCTTAGGCTATTTTTGCCATATTTCCACCTTTAAAAGCAATTTCCCTTATAGTGCCCCAGCCTGCTGCCCTGTCTTTTAACAGACTTCTTTTCTCTCCACCGTGTATTCATTGTCACTCCTATCCAGAATGGTAACTGAGGCAGCAGTTGCAGGTGCTTGTTTCAGCAACGGATACAGATCTGTCACCATGGATAACTGAGCGTGTTCAGGAATATCTTTTCCTCCCATTCCCTCCAGCCGCCATATACATCCTCACTACCTAGTCCTATAATGTGTCAGTGGTGCTGAGGCCATTGCCGCTTTGTGGTATGGGGGAAGCTCACCCTCAGCAGCGAAGTCCAAACAACACAGTCTAAAAGGCTCTTGTGGAAAAGGGGCTCTCAGCAATCCATCCGATTGGAGCTGTTCCAGTTTGTATGGAATAATTAAATATTAAATGGTTTGCCATGTGTACTTGCTCTCAAAGCATTACTGAGAGCAAGAAACCTGGGTTCTGTTACCTCTTCCAGGGAATACTTTGTGTTAAGTATTTACTGGGACAAGCCCTGGCAGACATGGTTTCCCCACCCAGGTGAGCGTCCCCATTACAAGGTTGACAAGCCAAGCCCAAGCTTTCCCACTTCAAGGGAGGACTGGGTTCACAGTCCTCGCAGAACAGCTGATAATCTTTTGGGTAGAGTGCTAATTCAGGGGGCAAGAGATTCAAGTTCCATCTGCCTCAGGCAGAGGCTGAATACAAGCCTCTCCTATCCTGGCTAAACTGCACCAGCCAGGAGGCTGAACCACAAAGGCTTGGGAGAGGCAGAAGGGCACGGGAGCAAGGAGAGACGTGCAGAAGGCAGCAGCACTATCAGTCACTATTGTGCGAGAAAAACCTGGCATGAGTGTCCAGTTCCTAGAGAGCAGGTGAGGTAAGTAGGTAAAGTAACTCACGGTGTTACAACACCTCAGTCTGATCATGGCCCTGGATCATGGGAGGTGCTCTCATGGCAGATCTCTGGTTGCTGACTAGAGTTCAGGGTCATGAGGGATGTGAAGGGAGATGATGAAAGTGGGGAGAGCTGCCTGGACCCATCCGAGACAGTTAAGGAAAAGATAAAGTAAAAAGCTGCTGCCAACATAAAAATCATTTCTCTCTGTCATGGGCCCTCTTCAGTGCAATTGCTAGAGAAGAATAAATGGAGAAAGATGGCTGAAAGACGGATAGGAGACAGTGAGAACAGGGCTAGTAAGTGAGGCAGAGATGGTGGAAAGAAGACAAGGAGGACAACAGGAGGACTGGACAAAGAAAAAGGAAAGACTGTGACTGAGACACTTCACCTCGCATTACCTCAATCTTCTGGCAATAAAAGAATACTAGTGAGAGAATCACAGAGCATTTCAGTAACGTTGAAGTTCATAAACATTTAGGAGACATTTAAGGGCCCTGTTGATCAGGACTGTGTTAAAAAGCAAGCAGGAAAATTTAAGAGATTGCTCTGACAAGTCTGAAGCACTGCTATCGGGAAAGAAAAAAGGAACAGGACTTATGTGCTTGATTTCATATGTGTAACTGAGTATTAAAATTCACACCAAGTACACTTAGGCTTTTTAATCGTAGAAAAAATTGGGCCTATTTCAGAGCAGGGAGAACACATGGTTTAAGGCATGCAGCCACTCTTTCTTCAGTAACAACCTACTGTGACTCCTATAATTTATTCCTCCCAAGATTCATTTGAACATCTGCAGTATCATTATTTGAGTTTGTTATACTATTAGCTTTAAAATTTTATAAGCCATACAGTAGGATAGGTGACAAGTTGAAAAGTTAAGGAGGGTTAATTTAGAAGTTTTAAAGCAAAGCTATTTTTGAGTTATACAAGTGCAAAAAAGCATCTGAATCCAAACCTCCATGGTTACATTAAAGTAACTCAGAAACTGCTGAAAGGATTTTCTTCAAGCTTCACTCAAGACAAATCCCTCTGGGCTAAGACCAAGCATGAGAATTTAACTCAAAAGGTGATTGTTGTCTGAAGGGAGTTTTCTCTCCCCCCTCTTCCCCTCCCCTCCTTTTGCTTTGTTTTGTTTTCAGTGTTTTATATATACATATAAATACATATATATATATAAAAGCCCTGAAAAATAAGAGTCTGGAGTGTAACTGTTTCATATCAATTTTATCATTATAATAAGAAAAATGCTGTTTGTAAACTACCTTTTTATTAAAACCAGACCCCCTGCTTTGCCTTTAGCACTCAGTACCCACCTCTAGCAGGCATTTGGTAATGGTGTCACTGGGTGGCTCAACAGTAAAGTATCAAGCTGTACTCTCAGCCCCATCTGCAGCTTCTTTGCATGCCTCAGCAGCTCAGCGCAGCTATAATACTACCCTAAATGGACAACTGAGGATTCCTCTTAACAGGAAGTCTTCGGAGAGCAGAGAGTCAGCAGCTCTGCAGCACTCTTTCCTCCGCTTCCCATCCCCAGTTCATGGCAGGTGAATCACACTCTGTACCTGTAGGCTGACCCAAACTAGGTTTTGATTTCTCACTGCTCCAGGTTTTGGAAAGCAGAAAGGTAGCTGGTGGTCATGCTTGTCTCAGCTCACTATTAACTCAGCGTGTCTGGCAACCTCATTCATTCTTCCCCTTTACAGTTGAGTCCAGGGAACTCACCTCCTAGTTGTGCAGTGGTAGGAACCTCTGTAAAGGAAGAACCTGAATAACGAAGGTGGAAACGTCTGTTTTCTTTCTGAAAATCCTTGAAATCAGTCCTCTCTAGTAGGAGCATCATGAGTCCTGGTAGCCTGACATCAGGATTAAAAAGACAAAAGACAGTAGATTTTCACACACACACACACACACACCCCCCATTCATTTCAATTCTCCCCCACATTTTGTTTTCTACAAATTGTCCCAGAGCAGACAAGAGCCTTTCCCTGCCCCTTCTACCCAGGCTTGTTTCTGTTGCTCTGGCAGCACCTCCCACAGTTACTCATTTGTTTGTTTGCTTTTCCATTTGCAACTTTTGCCCTCTCCAAAGAGCTGGCTTGCCCAGGGAAATGACAGTAACTTCTTTCATTACAAATGCATTTAGAAAGGCATTTCAATTGTTCCTTTTCATTTCGAGCAGCATGCGAATTTGGAACTTGTGTGAAAAACTGAAGGGGAACATTTGGAATAGATTGGCTGAAATAATTCACCACATTTAACCCAGGCAACTCAGATACATGAGGAAACAGCTTCCCTTGCCTATCTTCCATATACATGACCTGGATTAAAAGCTGCTTTGGGCAAGGGCCAACCCATTGTCTGTGGCCCTAACACAATGTGGCTTGCAAGCTGTGGCAATACTGTAATACCTAGGGACTTGTTTCAGGACACCCCGATTTTGGAAACAAAATACATGTTTCCTGATGACTACCAACATGGAATAGTGTGAATTATAGCTGAAATGGGTATAGGGAGAAGCATCAGGAATCCAAAGTCTTGGGTTCAGTTCTTACTTGTTTTAATTTGGGGGAAGTCTACTGTGGCAAAACGAAGAGGCCTTGAAGTTTGTATGAAGATGCAGCAGCTTACAGAGGGATGAGCAGATCCTGGAAGATCCCTGCTGTACCACCCTCCAGGATGAGGGAAATTTTGGCAACCGTTGAAAAAAATAGAGAAAATGTTAAAAAATACATCACAATATTTAAATAATCAAAAAGCTTTTCCATTCATAACTGTCCCATCTGCTCTCCACCACCAAACTTCTGGGGTATCATTTTTCAGTCAGCACTTGGCACTCAGCACTTGAAGCTGTCTGCTGCTATCTCATTCATACAGCTTTTTCATTTCAGGTCAGTATTATCTGACTAGGTTCAGATGAAATCTTAATACACCGTTCATCTGGAAAACCCCAACTCCAAGCACACTGAAAAATTGCAAATATAAACAATGCAGTTTCCATAGATGTATTAAAATATATCCCAAAGGGATGAGTGGCAGGAAAAAGAGGAATGTGAAGTTATGATCACAGAAGAGAATGCCCTTCTTTTTCAGCTGAGATCTTATGTAAGAGTGAGGAGGAAAGTGGCAAAGAGAAGAAAGGGCTGTCTCCTCATTGCTGGTTCTGCAGCAAAGAAGATTTTCACATTGGCCATGGTAAAATTAGGCAGAGAAATAGCAGATCTGAATATTGTATAGGAAGATGTGAAATGAGAAAGAGTTCAGTGCAGTTCAGGGATGGCAAGGTATAATGAAGGCAAATTGAAATAAGAGCTAAAACTGGAAGAGATGAGCTGAAGGAACCTAATATGAAGACATAAGTTTAATTAATAAAGGCAGGCAGAGCAAGCTGAACAGAGAATACTCATTTAAAATGTCAAAATATATTCTTAATTGTGCCCACTAAGGTAAAAATAAAGGCAAGGTATGTAGACAAAGCATGAAAGTTGAGGGGTGCAAGAGAGTGTTCAAGGATGGGGGTACTGAGAAGACCTGAGACTGCAGAGAAGCTCTTCTGGGAGATGACAGCACTGTCTTTAGTGCTTGTTGCTGCCTTCCAAGTACCCTACATACTGTTCCATTAGCAAAAGCGATCACATATTACCTCCTAATCTGTTTAAGCTATGTCAGCCAGATTCATTTCACCTGCTGATGAACATGGGTATGAGTTAACCAGGCTGGCTTTACTTGTAGTGCATTAGGGAATGTTTGCTTGACCTCTTATAATGGCAAAGCTATGGGGAGGGACCAAGGGCAAGCTGCAAAATGGGGTGTAGTTTTCAACTAGTAAATAGCCTAACACAGTGCAGGAAATTTGGTCTAGGAGAACAGATGAACATGTAACACTGGAACCAATCCAGCCATGTGGAAGGATGCAAATTTCTTAAGACTGAATAAGACTGAAGGAAAAAGTTATCATCAGCAGTACACAGTGCAAGAAAAGTCCATGTCTCTACATCTCACTGATATGAGTAAGGAGCACTTTTAAAGATAAGAGGTGTATATATGTGCTTGGGAGAAACAGCAGTTACTGGTTGGTTAGTAACTGACAGGAACCATAAGAGAAGAGACTTAACGATTTTACTGTCTCTGGTCCAACAGAAAACTGTAATCTATGCTACTTAAGCTTCATATAGTCAGCATCTGCAAATGCCAAATAATCAGAAACTTTACCAACATAAAAGCAAGCAAAGTTGAAGAGCACTGCACATCAGGGATCACTGGAACAATATACAGTGGCTTTCACTTCAGGGTAATAGCTTAATATTTTCCTCCCCATCCTGGCCTACTACTACTAGTAATAATAATGATGAGGGAAATAACAAGGGGAGAAAATATAAAAACCAAATCGGGTAAGGGAAACAAACAGTAAACACAAGCGATGCACAACACAGGTGCTCACCACCCACTGACCGATACCCAGCCCAACCTGAGCAGCGATCTGGCCTTCCATGTGACTCCCCCCAGTTTTTATGCTGGGCATGACGTGCTGTGGTATGGAATACCCCTTTGACTAGTTTGGGTCAGGTGTTCTGTCTCTGCTTCCTCCCAGCTTCCCATGCCCCTCCTCACTGGCAGAGCATAAGAGACTGAGAAGTCCTTGATCAGGGTGAGCAACAACTAAAACATCGGTGTGTTATCAGCACTGTTCTCAGACTAAAGCCAAAACTCAGCACTGCACCAGCTACTGGGAAGAGAACTGAACTCTCCCAGCTGAAACCAGGACACCTGTGTTTCTTTAGGGACTCACATCAAGTGAATTGGTACTGTTAGAAAGCACATCAAAAACTGAGCTCACATACCATTAATTTGCTTCTATTATCCAGAGTGGCTCTGTTCTCCAAGGTGAGTAGATCATGGGAAGTTTGTTTTGCTTCAGCTATTGCTATAACAATTCAAAGAGAGGAAACAAGAATTTTGCTTCTAAAAGTAGATATATTTTAGAAACATTAAAATAACATCTTAAACTGAACCATAGAAATAATTTTGGTAGCCCCTCTGTGGCACTCCCTGTAATTATAGCTAAGAATAATCATGAATCACCTTTTTGTTAGAGAGGCAGCCCTCTCTGCTTAGTTTAGAGGGACTGCAGCTCTAAATCCTTTGCAATTACTTTTATAACTATCTTCTGTGTTATCATTTAGATTGAGGCTTCTAATATCTGACTCAGTAGGCCTTCTGTTGGTTAGTTCTCCACCATTTATCTCCTTATTTCGGGTTCATGTCATTCACATTTCTGCAAAATTCAGCTGAAACCACTAGTGTCCTGTTCATGATACTCGTACTTTGCACTGCACATATTAAGAAGTAGAATTTGCAATCCAAGCCATTCACAGAATATTCTTATACAGCACATAATTTGCCAACAGCTAAATTAATCTTGCTTCACAATGTGAGGCTGTGTACATGTGGTTTCTGATACAAAAGTTTCCAGTGAAATCAGTGTTACAGGCATCATATTAACTTGGACCCAGCTTTTTCAGGTCTATGAAGCTTAGTCATGTGCCTGCTAATTTAGAACTCAAATGTAAGCAAGAATCTCAGCTCTCCTTTTTAAACAGTGTGAAGTTTCAATCCAATTTACCTTGCATAGATGAAAACATAAATCAGTAGCTGCTTTCCACTGCACATACTAATTTAATGAGCTAGGGATTTGACCACATGTGTATATACACTCTGAAGACCTTTCCCTCTCTACTGCATTAGGTTTGGATGCATGCCAGAGAACTATCTACAGGCTAAAAGGAGGAGGGAAAGGCAGCTGGCCCGTCAGTTAGCACCAGGTTCTAGAACAAGGGTGTGAGCCACAGGTCAGGGGGCAAGTGCCATCCATACCCTCCAATTGATGATGATTCGAAGAAAAGCATGTGCTGCTGCAAGTAGCACCTCAGCCCAGACAGCAGCCCCGAGAGCACAATGTGTGGGATCACCATGGCTCAGCTGGAGAGGGCTTTTCCACCCCTTTCCTCAGTGAGTAGGGAATCCAGTACAACACAGATGATCTGGAAGGAAGCTTCAGGAAGAGCACACTGCTAAAGCTTCCCCAGACCTACATTTTGGGTTGTTGCCTGATGTACTACAAAACAAAGCACATTTGGGGGTTTTGTCAAAGAAACTGTGTAATGACAAATCTGGCAAATGCAAAATGAAGTTGATAATAGGAAGAAGATAAATACTCATGCACAACTATTTATGTTTATGTTGCATGATTTTTGTTGACCTTAGAAGACCGTGACCTGAAATACAAACTCCAAAACAGCAGTGTCTCCTCACCTTCTGTGTCCTCTTTGCCTTGTCTCAAAGACCATTGTCCAGGAGGGGTAAAGCTTTGCACTTACGATTCTCAGACCTCCATGCATCTGAGCCCATTGATAAACAGCTCCTTTTCACTGAACTAGTCTAAACCAATTCTCTTCATACACTTGCGCAGGGAACATCAAATCCCAAGTTGTGTGAAACAGTGAAAACAGACTTCTTGGTGAAGATGTTCTGAGCAGATAATCTCAAAAACATGACTTCCAATGCCACATGTCTTTGGCTTCACAGAAGAGGATGAGGTAAAGCTGGGGAAAAGCAGAATAAAGCTAATGAATAGGGGTAAGGTATAGAAAAACAAAATGCTGCTGGAACATTAATTCATCATTTACTACAAAAGCAGAGATTACAATACACATTCACATAGCTACTGGTCACCTCTGATTAGACTCCTCCCTGTCTGCTACCAGAAGAATTAAATCTAGGCCAGACTTTGCTTAGGTGCCAAAGGAAAAAAGGACATTGTATTAACCATCTCTGTGACTCTGAACAACAGAATTAGTAACACTCTTTACACTTGAAATTCACTTTCAAAGTTCATTTAGCTTAGTTTATCAGACCCAGCTTGTTAAAAAATAAAAAATCAGAATCAGAATCACAGGTGATGTGAGAACAAGTTACGCTGAGGAAAGTCAGCACAGCCCCAGCCTATGGGATGGGAGGGAGGGCCATCTGCCATCAACATCTAGGAAACATACTTTGGGTGGAAAGCTTCCTTGCAGTCTCAGGCTCAGAGTAACTAAGGTTAGCTCTTAAGCTCTTGTTCTCCCCGTAACTCTGGCTCAGAACACCTCAAACCAAGGCCTTGCTGAGGACCCAAGTGTACTCTCCTCTAAAGGCAGGTAGACATTTATGCTGGGGTCTCTTGGTGGAGTCATGCTGAAATCAAAAGACCAGGTCCAAGAATCCCTGCTGTCATGTCCCAGATTATGGTATTACCAATGCTTGTCCAGCAAATACACAGAAGTTTCCTTCCTTGCAGAAACAATTTGATTCTATTTCTTTCTCTCTCTCAACTATATGGGAGTGTCATTTAGTTTTGCATAATTTCATTATGCAAACTCACACTGGACCCAGCACTACAAGCATCCCCTTCCTTCTGCTGGTGTTTGGCTTCTGATTAGAAATGGTATCAGAAGGTAAACACAATGCACAGGCAAGTTTGCAGCGGAGTAATGAGGCTCTAAAACCATACACCATGCCATGTTGACACCTCAGAAATGTTTTACCAGGTTAAAACTATTTTTGGTAATTACAAAGAAGCTGAAAAGAAAAAGCATCCCCTCGAGCTGACAACATGCATTTTATGCAGAAAGAGACAAGATATGAGACCGTGAAAACTGCACAAACACAAAAAGTTGAGATGTAACTGAGAGGCAGAAAAATATATTAAAATGATCATTTATTGAGCAACATGGAGAGGATTCTCTCAACAGCAGAAAACAGATTCTCGCAGGTCTCGGAGAAAGCACCACAGACGCCATTCTTGTGACACTATTAAAACTTCCACCTGAAATTGTAAAGCCACTTCTGGATACTGATGTCTGTCTCTTGATATAGCTATTATTGCTTTTGTTTTCTTTATGGATAGAGAAAACATGTTTCTGGAATGAGTAAGGGACTTTCCTAATGTCAAACAGGAAGTGAGGGGCAAAACCAGAAACAGCCTAGCTCCCCCCAGGCTTTTTCTCTATCTATCCTATTAGCAGATTGTAGAGCCAGGAAGAACAATCTCTTCTCTGTGAAGAGGTAGGTTTTGCAAGGAGAATAACGAGTTCCACGTGTCTCCCCAGCTGATATTAGCAATAGTGAAAATCTCATTCTGCAGCAAAACTGCCAATGCAGCACTTGTAAAAAACCTCCAAATTCATGTGCAGATCAGAAATTGCCGGGGTGCCTTCAGCAGCTGCGACTACCAAATACTGTCAGGGAGTCATCTGAACGCATCAGATCCGACTCAGAGGTAGGCAGCAAAGCCCAGATGGCTCGGTTGTGCACCAAACTCTCATGCCTCATGTGGGGAGAGGCAATGCAAGGTTGGGACCCCAGAGGTTTGTGCAAGCCCTGGGTTAAGATGGGGCACACCAGTGTGGAGCCCCGCCGGCACTCCCGCAGTGCTGGGAAATGGAGAATCCTGACAGGACCTACACACATGCAAGTGTTTAAATACTCGTTGTTGGGGACTACAGGAAAGCCTACGGTAGACATTTTGCCTTGGGATGTTTTCTCTACTCTATTTCAAAAAAGCAATAAAAATATGTGCTACTCTGAGGGCTATTTCTCTGCTTAACCAGCCCCTTTATTATTATCCAGCTTCTCTCAGAATATACCCTTTCTCCCAACAAGCCTGTACTGCTCCAAAGGGCAAGGCTCAGGTCTCAGGCAGGGGTTGTCGACATGCACATTTTCATTTGCCTGACTTCCTTCCACTACAGGTCACATTCAGATGGATTTGAGGGCATTCATCTGCAGGCCTGGACAGAACTGACCCCTTCGACTGTGTCAGGTAATCCTCATGTCCTTATGCACACACCGGCTGCAAGGGGCATGAGCTATGCCATCCCCGTGGTGCTGGAAGCACACGGGGCAATGAGGCTTCCAGGAGTGCTGGTCACCTACATCTCCAGCAGAAACCAACCGGAGATAGCTTAGAAAGCACGGCCTTTTCATTCTCCAGAATTAAGACTTTGATTAGATGCTGGCGCAAGACCAAAACTCCATCTGAAATGCTTTAGACAACCCATCTGCGCTCAGTTTGGGAGCCTGAGGAGCGCATGCTCCCTCCCCAAACCCCTGTGGTCCTTCACGAGTCCCCCCACCTCATGATAAATTTCATAATTATTCAGCCCTTACTACCGACACCAAAATTCATCACTCAAAGCAAGTTAGCTGAGATTCATTAGAATAAGACATCTAGTAGGCACATGTAGTTTATTAGCCTCTTACACCAATAGTTTTAATTAGGTACATATTTCACAGCTCTAGAACTACTCGAGTGAAGGGCTGCTTTTATCTCTTTTATTTACAGTAACAAGCTATCAAACAAATACCACCATAATTAAACTCAGATGAAAAAAAAAACAGGAGAAAAAGGAAGATGTTTTAGGGTTTTTTTTTAAGGGGTGACCTACTCAAACCTCAGGTTTGGTAAACCTGAGGGATATTATGTAATTAATGAATGAAATACTCTGCATCTGAGCAGGATGGTGGGGCAGGGTGGCACCTGGCAGGCCCTTCCTCCATGTCACCTTCAGGTAGAGGAGGAGAGCTCTCCCTTGGATAGATACCGCCGTGATAAGAAAAGTGATTAAAATCCAGAACATATCTAAATTATTAATGAGGAATTTAAATGATGTTATAAAAGAGGGAAATACAGGCGAAAATGTTACACATTCATGGAATTTTTACTCATGCATAATAATAAGTTGAAAACACTTCAGTTATAATGCTTCCTAAATTAAAGGGCGGGGTGGGGGTAGAGACGCGATGCGTTTCTCGGGCCCTCCCGCGCCGCTCGCCAGTCGGCGATCAAGGGCGCCACCTGCCGGGAGCTGCGGTGCAGTGCGCCTGCTGCCGCCGCCCGGCTCCGGTCGTCGGTTGCGGGCCGCGGGGGCCGTGCTCCAGCCCGGGGTCAGCGCGGCTGGCCGTCGCTGGGGGCAGTCCCGCTAAAGGGCGGGCCCCGCGCAGGGCTGTGGTCTGACTCCTGCCGCCCTACGCTGTGATTTGCTTTCCCAGAGTGCAAAGACAGGTTTTTAACTTCGCAGGTGCTGAGAAAGGAAGTGATCAGGTGAGAAGAGCCCCTTTTTGCTCTCCTGCATACACGGAACCCAACACGCTCCCCTGCTGCCTTTGCTGATGTGCCCTGCCAGCCCTGGGGTAGGCGTGCTCCTTCCCAAAACCCCATAGAGCTGCCTGCTCGTTATTGTGCATCCTTGTGAGCAGCAGCAGCAGTTGGTACCAGAGAAAAGGTTTCCCTGGTCAAAGCAGCAAGTGGCATGTACCTCACATAGCTATATCTTTGCCTAAATCTCTGTGCAGGCTATTCTGTAAAGACTTCCCACGCTGTCTATCCAGACTCCCCGCACAGAAGTGCTGTTCGTGTGACCTACAGAGTCACGGAACACTTAAGGGCCTCATCTTTACAGCCCTATTTTTTTTACAACCATTTGTATCATCTACCACAAATTCTGGTCATCTGCCATGGCAGGGAAGAAACTTGCAAGCCCATAAAAGCAGTAGTCACTGGAACACAACCTTAGCCATAAAGTCTCTTGGACCTGCTTGTCCCTCCGTCTGAATTCCTTGGGGACATCTTGTACTTCCAGGTGCCTTTCAGTCCAATAACGCTGCTTTTGGTAACTCTGCAAAGCAGAGAACCAGCAGCTGATTACAGTGGCAGCAAATAAGGTGAGAATAATCCCAGGCCATTCTGGACTGTGAGGTCTATACAAATGCTCTAAGTCCTGCTGAATGCTGACTGGCAGCTAGCACCAATTACCGAGTAATGGGCTCTCCACATGCCCCTTTACTTAATAAGTAGACACAGTCTGCACTCACTTTTGGAGCTCAGTTGTCTCTGGTTGTAACACCAGCTGAATGCTTTGCAGTGGGCTAGCCTCACAGTGACTAAAGCTCAAATCGTTATAGTAAAGTCTCAACCAAAAGAAACTGCCACACTCTTCCCAATTGGAGCAGATGAAATAAAGGCTCTTGGACACAGTTCCTACCTAGGAGCCTGCCAGAGCCTAATAATTGCAACATGCTGTGATTCTAAAACAAATGTGTCATGGAGAGACACCGGGCTATTTTGGAGGGAGGTAAATTTGCCTGAATGTAGCTCTTCATTAGCACAGTGTTATTTCTTCCACGGCTCCAACCTCTTCTGGTCCCTTTCTCCATGGCACTGCACACAACACATTTGCTATCATGAGGCAAGGATGTCAGCTGTGGTCCCTCTGGACAAAGCAGTGACATTCATATCAGAAACAAAACCCTGCGCTCTCCTCTTTTGCTTCCTATGAAATCTCCAGTGATCATATTCTCATTATTCCTTTGCCTGGACAGCACTGCCTAAAGTTTTCAATGAATTTTGGGCACTATTCCGTCACATTTCCGTCACAGGAGAACTCATTCCCTGTCTTTAGCTAGATGGAGATGCAAACAGGGTTTCAGTGAATGCTCTTGAGCTCCACATTTTCTCCCTAGATCTTCAAAAGAATATGCTGAATGGAAGATAACAGAGAAGATCCCTGTGAAATCATGGTGCAAAAAGAAGTTCCTGCCAAATAATCCGAAAGCATCTGAGATAATTTCCACAAAGAAAGCAGCAGGGATTCCTAAAACACAGTTCCCATCCATCCTTATTAGGAACGTGACACCATTACCTTCACAGCTAACGCTATGAAAGGCTGCTGAAATGTTCAAAGGAACCTTGGTAGGTTTGCTTTTCTCATCGCAAGACAGAAGTTATCACTAAAGGCCTTATGAAAAGTAAGAAACTTTCACAACCTTGAGTCTCTGGAGGCAGCAATTACATGCAAGCTGTTGTCCCCAGTTTATATCCTTCAGCTAGTTTATATTCCTGACACTGGGAGGAGGGCATTTGTAGCCAGGTAGTTAGCATCAGATTATTGTTTAATGCAACCAGCTGCATGAGTGCAATGCTGTGACTGAGGCTTCTACATGCATGCAAGTCAGCGAATTCAAAACCACAGTTTCTGCAGCAGCCATGAATTGCACCCCATCTATTACGGACAGTATTATAGACAAGGAGCCATCTCTCTGTGTGCCAGAAGAGAAAGACCAGCTGAAGTATTAGACACCCCCCAAAAGGCACATTAAATTCCAACCTCTTGGGTTTATTACCATACACTAAACTGATGTGGTCATCTTTACCTAAAATTAGTTTCTTCCTCATTTTAAATCTACATGTGCAGCACAGTGAAGTAATGATGACTGTTCCACACTCCTTCCCCATCACGTATTTTGGTTCTATGCCTTGACCTCCTGTTAAATGTAGTTACCAGGATGGAATTTCCTTTGGTGTTAGTTCTGAAGTACATGTGGGAGGTGAAGAGAACCCACTGACTGCACTAGTTCATTGTGTGAACCAGGCAGTAAATACAGATGTGGAACTCCATATTCATGCCTCAGCATGGATATCTCTTCAGTGTCGCACCTGCAGGTATTTATACACTCTCACACTGAAATAGATGCAGCCAGTGTGGGTGTGTAGAGCTGCACCTGTGCATGTAATGAGACATTCAAAGAAACACGCCAAGTTTTGTTGCAATCCCACTTGACAACATCCTCATACATTCTGTCCTGCATGTTCAGGAGCCTTATCCCTGCTGCTGAATCTTTCTCTGTGCTGGGCTGGAGTGCCCTATGTACCCATCTTCTGCTCTCATCCCAGAAAAAAACCCCTCCTGTCACTTCCTCACTGCTTTCATTATAAATACCAAATCATGTGAACCATCTGCCTGTACAACTTCTGCTGAGCTTAATGTTGCTGGAACTGAAACTGGGCACAGAAGGCAATATGCACACCCTTTGGGCCTGTTTATTTGCCTGCTTCAGAGAGATCATATGGGCTTTCCCTACAAGGCAGCTACTTTCTGGCAAGTCCTGCTCTGGCACAGAAATATTTTACATCCTGGGATTGGTCTTGAGAGCCCTCTTTCAGCCAGTGAAAGGACACAAACCTGAAACCTCATGGTTTATGTACAGTGTACAGCCCAGTACTTGGTATATTAAAACCACTATTACATCAGTTAGAGCACAAGGAGTACAGACATTGTGCTCCCTGTTTTTCAGAGGAAGAAACTGAACACAGGCATCCAATCAAATTGCCCAAGTAAGCATCAGACATTAGGCTAAATTTAAGAACATCCCTACTTACCTGGGATTTCAAGCTGTGAAGTAATTTAAAGCTCCTTCAGACTGAACAATTGCCTGCCAAGATGTGTAGGCATCTCATCATGGATAACAACTGGACATTGACTTAGAAACCTTTGGACGTTTTGTTGCAGTTCTACTCCACCATAAAGACATAAAGTCTGCATATCTGTACACATTTAAGATGACAGGAACAATAAGAAGTATATTACTCTTGCACACTTTACAACCATACTCGGCATTTCCTAATGGGAGCTGTAGAAGCAGAAAGCACTGCCTAGTGTTTCGGTCAATGGATTGTGAGTAGAGAAACAAGTCCCTCTGATTTTTACTCATAACTGGCTAAATAAGTCAATCATTCCATGCCTTAGTTAATGCATCTATATCACAGATATTATAATATCTCAAATTACTTCCTTTCACCAAAAAAGAGGTCCCCTCTTTGCCCACCCACAGATTCTGGTCTCTCTTCCCTTCTGATAGATGCTTTGGCAAAAGAGAGATTTGTTTTATGACATTTACTGCATTTGTTGTGCTGACATCACAGAGTCAACAAGAACAAGTATTTATACTTCTATTATGCCTTCATTGAACTGAACAAGGTGTTCAACAGGACATTTTAATTATAATGCCACTTCTAACAGCGTGAGTAAAGGTGTTTAAAAAACACAATCAAGCATGAAATAGAACAGTAAACATGCCATTTCAATTACAGAATTATGTGTAAGCACATCCCTGCACAGCACAACATTTGAAGACTGCAAGAAACACTAAAATCCTATCTGAAGCCCTGGGAGGTTTTGTGCAGAGGGCTGAAGGAGCCAAAATGCTCTCTTCTAACACTCTTTTGTGCACTTACACTGAATTTTCACTCCAGAGAAAATCTCACACAATCCCAAATAGACAATTTTTGTACAGATTTTCATGGAGGAAAAGTAGCCATGAGCTTTTGTTTTGCATTGCAGTGTCATGTCAGACACTTGATCTATTTGGGGAGCTCTTTTTTACTTCCTAGCCCAATGGTGCTGAAATTGAAAAGAAGATGCATTGGCAGATCATTGCATTGTTATCCACCTCCAGCTACCTGTACCAGTGCAAAGTGTTCTCCATCAGGAATGCATCATGTTTATAGATACATGTGACCCACCAGAAACTTCTGGACATCTGTGGCCCCTCTGGGCGCAGCAGGATACTGGGCTGCTCTGCAAAATGCTATAAATCCCACAGGGTGCCCGGAGGGAGGATTTCATCCCGCTCTCAACACCACTGCACTGCAAAACACAGAGACACTTATTCAAGGAGCTTCTGAGCAAGTAAGTGATGCCTCAATTTGGCAAAGTCCACCCTCTCTCCAGTGAATCAACATACTCTGCTTAGAATAATACAACAAGGTTGTCACAGAAGCCTGACAGTTGTGACAGGCTGCTGTCACTCAGGGGTTTTTGGCATTGTAAGCAAAAGGGAACATAGGTGTTTCCAATGGTTAGGGCTGGGGACAGGACAGGGAGGCCTGTTCTGTCCATGTGGAGGCGAGAATGCAAGGAAAAGGCAGCTGAGATGGGAAGCTCTGATGGTCAGGGGTGGACTCACCAGCTTTCTGCAGCCAGATGGGAATGTGGACACCGCTAGGTGGGACTTTCCTTTGTCCTTCAGGCAAACTCTCTCCAAAGCAGCAGCACAACACCCACCTGCCTCTCCAGCTCTCTGGAAGCACAGATGAAGCAGACAGTGAGGCCACACTCATTTTGCTGTCCTAAGTAATTGCCTCCTTGGCCAATGTGTAGAACAAGCTCAGATGGGCAAGTGTCAGGAAGACCTGGGCACAGAACCGTCCCACTAAGCAAAGACTGAAACCTTTTCTTTCCTGCATGTGATACCACTGAGCACTGCAGGAGCAGCTGCCAATATAGTGGCAATATTCACTGGCAATACAGTGAATGCTCTTACCAAAGCATGGCCAAACTACCCCAGCCTGTCCTCTGCAGCCCTTAGGGAGACAGTTTCTCCGCACAGCCCCAGTGAGGAGAAAACTGGAACAACTCGCATTTCTGCCATGCAGATTAGACTTGAACCAATGCTGGATGCATTAAGTTCCCAAAGACATCTGGAGATCCTAATGTAAAATCTGGTGCTATCGTGTGATCTGGACTGTTATCTTTTCCCTAAACCATACTGTTGTGTTGAATAGGCCATGCAATTTTCCGCAGTATTGAGTCAGGTTCTAGAAAACCTGACCTGGAAGTTACTCTTATTGTGATTTGAAATTAATAACTTTGAATCTGTAAATGCAGCAGATAATTAGGTGAAATATATAAGAATCAGTATCTAATAATCTGCCACACATACACGTAAAAGCATTTAATTGACAAGAAGTTATACGGGCATCCATAGGTATTTAATAGCACAGCATTAGAAGTGCTATTCTTTGTTTGAAACACACTTTGTTCCTCTCTCTCCAGCCTTTCAGAGCTGAAGGGAGAACTCAGCATATTTTTTCTGTTTCTGGAAGAACCTGTCTTTCTCAAAATGTCAGAGCACCTCGTTAGTGGAAGCCTTAGTTACCTTGCAGATAGCTGGCAGAGGTGTTTTGTTGTGCTTGCTTCCACTTCGTTTTTCCCTGCTATTATGAGTAAGTAGAAGTGAAAGCCTAGTTTTCATTGCCTTTAATGGGAGTAGAATCTGCTTTTCCTTCATAGCTATTTTCCATTCTTCTCCTGGCACTACACAGAAATGCACGGGAGGTGAGACACAGCAGAGAGGTGACTTGGCGGGGAGGATTCCAAAAGCCAACACTAAATGCAGATAACATATTTTTTTTTACTAGTTATGCACATTTACATGCCCTGACGGAAACTTAAGAGAAGCACTATATGGAGAAGTCATTAACTGAGATTTAAATTTGGGAAATACAGGAAATATGTGGAAACCTAAAATTTAAGGCCCACATTTAACATCTCTCTACTTAAAGCAAATCAGGATATGAGGCAAGCTTGTGAAGTTCACTTATACTAGAAGAAATGAACACAAGACCTACCTGATTCATGTACCTTCTCCTTGAATGTACCACTTTTGTTAAAGGAAAGCTGTGCTGCTTTTGCTGTCTTTCAAAACTGTTGGAGACAGTTAAGGTCCTCCCCAGCTTCTGGATAAATCAGGTTCCAACCTCTACAACTGAACAGATTCACAGGAGGTTTCCATGGGTTTCTCACCACCAATTATAACTTGGAGCAAATTAAAATTTGTGATCATAACTAGTCCTGAATAGTTGAGAGGTAATGATGCATGGGAGGGAAAATATCTAATCAGATGAAGAGATAATGTTCAGGGTCAGTTTTAGAAAGCCGTATGTTATTATCTGTACATTCAACACAGAAGCAAGTATGGAGCTTGGCATTTTAAAGGTCAGATTTTAAACTGAAGCCATTGTTCAAACAACTTCCTTTGCAACAAGAAGCAGAAACAGCCTAAGTGAAGACAACCTTAGTCTGTCATCCAGCTCCCTGTTCGGCTCCTCTGTTCAATTCAGGAGCAGTCTCAGGGCTGGTCTACCTGTGCCTGCCTCCGTTAGGTGCTTGTTTCTCTACTCCACACACATGCATGCTCAGAGGCCGAAGGCTGTACAGGAGGACTTCCTAACCATAGCTCCTGGGCGTTGCTGAGCCCCAGAGCCTGAGCTGTGGCCTCTGCAGTGAACAGCCAGGACATCATGCACTGCTTCGGGGCTGGGCACCTGGAGCACCAGCCAAGCTCACAGATGGAGAGGGAGGGGAGAGCACGGGCACCAGCTCATCAGCAGGTCCAAGGGTTGCACAAGACCTTGCAGGCATGAAGGCAAAGGAGAGTGAAAAGGAGGTAACTGAGAGCTGATACAACTGCTTTGCAGAGTGCAGCCACAACAGGAGCTGTAATCACAGTGAAAACAGTGTCTGTATCTGAAGCACTGCTTCTGCTTATTGTGTAAATAAAAGAACTATGACTTCATGTCTCACACTTCAAGAGACATACTCTTAGCCTTGTTTTCTTCCATATCAGAGCTCTAAGAAATCCACAATGTGTCAGTTTTGGCTTAAGGTTAATCCCTAGGAACAAGTAATGTAACATTTCTATCTATCTTTTCTACTCTTTTGGTGGTTTTAATTATACTAATATGCTATGACAATTTAAACAAGACACATCTCAGCTTCTGGCCTGCTCTGTAATGGTTCAGCTGCTACATGTGCTCCAGCATACTTTGCTCAGACAGGCTGCTGCTGGAGGCAGAGGGGAGGCAGAATAGTACCCTTCTGTCATGAGAGGTTTCATTGCTCTGATCACTGTATGTTTGACAGATTCTTTGTCAATGTCAAGTGTCTTTTGTGGTTAAGCCCAGCAAAGCTAAAACAAAAGGTCTCCTAGATATTAGATGTATGGTGACATTACTGAATTCACTTGGAGGCAGTAATTTTTTGTCAGTCTATGAAAGGAAAAATGGAGCTAATGGGAAAACAAAAGGAAGATGCTGGCATGCCTTTTTAGCTATTTTTGTTTATGTCAGACATAGTGATTGACATCTGGCCCAGAACACCCCTTCAACCATTGAGGCTGGTGTCATGAAACAGAACAAAGAGAAATTGCCAGCCAAGAAAACACCCGTGGCTCAGAAAGTGCTGCTTTTTGTTTATTTTCTTTTAAGTGCTTCATTTTCAGTAATCAGTATCATTACACAAAAGCAGTTCACTCACTTACACTCCCCCCTTACTAATTGGACTTTTGAGTTTCCTTCGTGTCTGCTTTCTTCCTGCCCACTTGAATGGCACCAGAGTGCTGGTTTGGTTGGATGACAGTCTGTCATAACAGTGATGTTTGAGGTTAGTGAAAACTGACGTGAAAAATACAATCCACCGGCCTTTAACTGAAATAGCAGCTCTGGTTTTTGTGGAGTTGGCAGGCAGCATTTTTAAACCCCTTTCACAGTGAAGGCAGTTACATGTTTTTCTCTGTATCAAGCAGTTCTATCATGAAGTACATTATCTACATCTGTTGTCATATCAGGATATTGCCTTTGAAGAACAGTTTGCTGTTTCTTGTGTGGCCACTTCTATTGTTGAAGTGCCCTAGAAGGGTTTAATGGATTTTCGTGGTCATTCTCCAGGGCCAGGCCAATTACAAAGCTTTAACATTTATTTACGAGTGACTCTGGGGAAATATCAGTGTCCAGAATAGGTCCTACAGACACACAATACCAAGGAGTCTTTGCCACAAGTGTTCTTCAAGTGCTGTAGAATTTCAGAGACTTGGGGAAAAAATTATCTATCAGCAGGAGGAAATTATGGCTTAAATTTCTAAATTCATCTTGAAAGTATGATGCTGAACATAACAGTAACAAAGGAAGACTTTTCACAAGGTGCGAGCAAGGCACTCACTACTCCATCAGCCACTTCCTTCCATTCAGTTGTATGCTGAAATCATATCAGAAAGAATTTTTACCTTACCAAAAAGATCTTACTCACTTAAAAAATGCAAAGACAGTTGGCCCTTGAATGCATCCATCATGTGCTGGAGCTAAACGTGCTTGAACCTTTGTAATAGGGTACCTTTTGGTCTTGAACACTGGGGTATATTCTTCTGCAGGAGCAGCCACTTAACTCCCCTCAGCATTAATGGCAGATATGCTTACACGTCGAGTGGTGAATTTCTCTCTGTCTCTTTGCACAGTGCTCTAAAAAGAACTTTGAAGAAATTGAGAGAAACAGAGAGAGCAGTATATTAATTTGAAGGAGATGAAAGCAGTACATGTCATCCCTAAATTTCATGGAAAATGCACCGTTGGTAACAAAGATGAGTAGAAAATTTCAAAATCATTTTGAGCAGCATTAAAATCAGTCTACCTGATTTTCTGTTTTCTCCTTCTTTTCAAAGCACATACATTAAACTCATTTTATGCTTATAATGTATATAATGATTCTAGACAACATAAGAAGGACACTGGGATTCTTCCTATTTCAACGTATAAAGTGGCAAGCCAATTTATGCAGCTTAAACCATTGCTAAAGAAGATGTATCAAATATTGCCTGTGATCATTACAAATAACAGCCTGAAATGTTCACAAGAAGCTGTTTGCTTATCATATTTTCATTAAAACATCTTTTCACCTGCCTTGCTTTTCCCATGCCTGTAACCTGCATTGTAATCAGTCTTATTAACTGAGAACATAAATATGATTTATTATGGTCTGATAATGGAAGCTGCATGGACCAAGAGAAGGGATGTATTGTCCTTTGATAAAATGGCTCTTTTCTCTCAAATAGAGCTCTATCATGAGAGCATGCAGAATCTAGTGAGTGATTATTTCTTGAGGGTGAATGATGGCAGAACCCTACAGAAAATCTTCTTGTTGGCCATGACAGCATCTGAGTGTCCCCAAATCTCACCGAGTTTGACAACCTGCAGACACTTTTGATGAACTGTATTCTTCTGTCAGAGACAGCCTGTCTGGGAGGAGAAAAGGGAACCTTTATCGTCTGATCTGCTATTATTGTCTTGATCTTTTATAAGCAATCTCTAATGCACATGAATATAATATCCTTTCACACAAGTGCCAAACATAATAGAAATGTAGTTAAAGGACCCTTTTCCCAGTTATGTAAATGTCCTAATACCATAATTAGAAAAGATGGTTTGTGAATGATAGCAGTAAGGAAAGGGTAATCAAAATGTTTTAACATTATCTTTCTGTTTTAAAGACCAAAATCTGTGATAAATAGCATTTATGGCAGATATTGGGAACTGGCTTGTGCTGAAGCTTTTACCTAAAAGAGAATAGTTTTGAGTGTAAAACTGGTGTTATATTTTCATAAAACACATAAGTGGCAGCTGGTCTTAAGCCAGAAATGATTACTGGCAGATAGGACTTAAAGAAAATGAGTATTCCGCTCAAAATCCCTCCACGGCTGTTAGAGAAAGAACAAAGCGTTATTATTAAGTAGTGTATTTGGACAAAGGAGTGTTCAAGACCAACTAAAGTTCGCCAACAAATCTCTCTTTTATCTACATCCAGAAGAACAAGCATAACAAAATCTTTTTCAATTAACAGCTGTACACATTAGCAAAACACCATCTTTCTCAGCTCAAGCAGCCTGGCTTATTTATCACCAAAAATGCAATGTTTGGGGGGAAGGTTTCCAAGCTGCCCAGTAAAAGCAAGATACTTGCTTTTTCATTAACCTTTTGACATCTGGAGCTGGGATGTCCCAATATTAACTACTAATGGTCTTTTGCATTACCAGTTGGTGTTGAGAGAAGTCCCAATTGTCAGAGTCAAAAGGTTAATCAACAATTTCACACCGGTGATGTGGTCAGAGCTTGCATGTTACTGCCTGAACAGGAGGAAGAAGAAAATAATGCCATTAACAGGAAACTACATCCCAACACTATTAAATCTCTCTTGCATTTCTTTTTTTTTTTTTTTTTTATATATGTTATATATTTCATTATATATTTACTAAATCCTCTGACTTTTTAGGGGACTTTTCAAAACTTTGCTGAGAAGTCTAGGCCCAAATATGTGACCAAATTGTTTGCTTTCTTCTACTTTTCTTAAGGAAATAATTAAATACATGGATTTTTACTCACCAACTGTTCAGCCCATGCCAGTGTGTTTTCCATGTCTGTTACCCAGGGAGATTTTAAAATCCCTACCCAACTGGGGCTAATTCAGCCTGACAGTTGTGTCCTGTCTCCTGCAGGTGAGGACACCTGAATGTCCACTCATCAGGGTCAATTTCATAGTGCAGGTGCCATATCAGGGATGAAGTACATCCAATAGCCAATACCTGGGTGTAGACTTTTCCCTCCTGCCCTCTTCTGTCTTGATTGTAGGAAAGAAGTCAACAGCAGCATTCCCTTAACAAATATGCGTAGTGATATTATTTCATGTGAAAGTACTCATATGAGCAGCCATGCCAATACCTCAGCTGGCATCGTTTGACCAGAAATAGCCATAACGTACTTTGACTTCTGGCCCAAGAGCTCTCCTAGCCATAGCAAAACCAGATTTATTTTCCAAAAGAAAAGATTAAATAGTTCTGAAAACATTACAGCTTGGCATTGGCTACCAATAGCAGTGTTCCCACAGAATGACTTCTCATTTACCCTGGCAGTATCTGAAATTGTTAATCATTGTTTAGACTTGATCAAAAGCCTTCTGATGTCACCATATGGATCAGGTCAGTTGTTTTATGTTTTTGAGACATTCCATCTTTTTTCTACAGCTAAGACAAATAAGTAGTGAATCTTGCTCAAAATATCTTGTGTCCTGGATATTTGCTGCACCACATAGTTTCTCTCATCTCTTTCTCCAGTTCCAACAAACTCTAAGGCTAAAACCTTCCCTCTCTTGATTGCTTCAGTTTTAATGGGGACAGGATTTTACCCTGAAATGAAGTATCAATCTTTCCAAGTGCCCTATTACTTAGTCCGCCAATTAGCTGACTATGGAGCCTGAGTGTCCTTGTACATCTTCCCAGTCCCCATACTTGGCTGCATATGTTTATGCAATTAGAAGGGGTGAAAATTTAATAAAATTAGGACAAACCTGAGTGAGCTATAATTCTGTTTAATCTCTCAAACTGGATTGTTGAAAGCTTGCTGAATTCCCCAAATCTCTCTCAGGTGCCAACAAATGAGTCAATATCATACCAAACATCTCACTGCATAGCAGACGTAAATTGTACTTCCAGAATCTCATACACACCCTCAAATAATGAATCTAATGTCTCTACAGTAATGTTGGGGGAAGAATGGGGAGGAAGGGGAAAGGCAAAAAATGCTGTTTCCTCCAGTTACCAGCATTGTACTTGGTGGCCCAGAGTGTAAAACAGGAGAATACATGGGAGATTTGCACAGGGAAGGACTGGTCACTTTAAAGGCCTGTGCCTTCCTACAGCAGTATTAGAGCAATTCCAAGCCTTCTGCCTCCAGTGGGAGGATCGCTGACTATCACACTGGGCTTTGCTAGATCCCCCTGGCAAGCCCTAACAAACTGAACAAGATGGGAGAATGAAGCTTTCTTTCATCTCAGTGTGATGCCCCTACAGACTTTGAAAAGCCTGGTTTGCACTTTGTTTTGTACTGCAGTGCTAACTGGTGGTTTGCATAGAAATAATCATCAGTCTGGAATAATCCCAGACCACTTCATACCTGTGTCCTCTCATCACCCACCATTCAAGGAAAGGAAGCAAAGAATGATTTTGGCTAAAATTAGAGGGAAATTTTCTTTGAAAGGGAGAATAGAATTACTTAGAGCACAGCAGAGTAATTAATAACTGTTCTTGGAAGAAAGATCCCAGGATCTTTTATCTCAAGTTGTGAGGGCTTTGGTTTTGTATCTAAGCCAAACTATGTCTTTGTTGCAGAATGGGGCTCTTCAGTATGAGGAGGAAAACTTAAGGGTTGTGGCACTGGGTCGATAGTTCAGATGAAAATGTTATCTGCAGATCAACCAAGTCCTACTTTTTTTTTCCCCACCTATGTTCATCTTCCTCTTAGACTTAATCTCCAAGTATGTGCCTTGTTTACTCTGTGAGATCTTACAGAATTTCATCAGGCCAGAAAGGTTTTTTATAATCACACAGCTGAGGTACTGCTCTCACTCATACTCTTCAGGATGCTGAGGTCATAGAAAAGAGCTGGAAGGGATTGTCCAGTACCTGATAGTATTCCCCAGGATTTTGATTATTCTGTCATAGAAATCCTCCAGTGATGGAGACCTTGTCACTGCTTCAGTCAATTATCCCAACAGACAGCTGTCCTTTCCTAAGTGGCAAATACAGTCTAATAGTGAGAAAGACTGATTGCTTTCTTAGATATTATATGTTTTGCTCAAACACAACTTAAATGTATTTATGCCTTTCACCTTGTTTCTCCTCCATTAATTTCTGTCTCTGCTACCCCTTGCTCACTGTATTTTTTATTTCATCTTTCTATATGCTGTTTGGCACCCTTGTATTTCTTCTCATTTTTGCATCTTTCCAAACACATGAAAAAGGACTCTCATGTGGCAATGGCCTCACTAGAGACCTCATCTCCTCAGAGGGGAGCCAAAATGCCACATTTTCATTCATTGCATCAAAACCACTTTTCTTAAACAATAAGAAATTATACAGCCATATTCAAATTCAGATCTAAAGGTGTTGTTCTTGACGTGCAACTGAAAAGCATAGCTAGCTATGGGAAGCACATGATCTGCTCTGAACAGGCACATGCAGGGGCAGGCATTACATAGCCTCTAAAAAGGGAAATCAGAACTCCTGACAGTCATGCTAACAAATGACTGCTTCCTGCTTACTGCTTTGTTTCATGTACAGAATTAGTTACAACACAGGTCTGGACCTACAGGTTCAAGAACACCAGATTAAGTGACTTTGCCTCTAATTTATGCCAGGGAAAATCCCATCAAAAAGAGTTAAGGTGGAGTATCACCATAAGCAGAGAATTGTGCTACTTTTGTTTCCTCAAGTCAGGCCCCCTGAATTATCTTAATGTGGGTATAATACATAAGTACATAGTGTCCCTGTGGCACTATAGGATGCTTGGCCTAACCAGGTATCTGGGGATGTCAAGATAATCTGCAAGATTCAATGCAGCTCAGAGACCAGTGTTTCTTCAAAAACAACTGGTTCAACTTATTCTTTCAATTTTTGACAGAAAATTATCAAAGCAGGAACTACCTCTGCCATGGCAGGAAGCAGTATGATAAATAAAGGGGAGAAATAAGGAAAGCTTACTCTACATTTAAGAGTAGCAAACAAGTTTGTTTTCCAGCACATCTGTTTCACAGCACATTGTTGCTGCAATATAAATGTTTTCAGCTGCACTATTTTCCTATCTGCTCTGGCCAGGGTCTGTGCTTGAAAGGGCTGAGAGCAGTGGTCTGAAGCAAGACTATTGTGAGCATCTGATAAAGGAGCTGTTTGCGTTAGCACTGAGGATCTGCTGCAATGAGACCTCAGACTGTGCCATTCCATCGAAGGTGTGAACATAAAGTAGGGAAACTAAACTTGGTCTTGGGAGGCAGAGGTTCTTTGTCCCATGTATGATCTCACACAACATATTTCCACTCTCCAAGCCTCATTTTTTCCTTGAAATAGGGACTGACAGCTTCCTGTCTTCCCTCTCTGGACTTGTGGCTTTTTTGGCTAGTGGCTGTTCCTGATTATGGGTAGGTCTGATGACTGTAAGCCTGACCTCCAGGAGGCCTCTGGACACTTCTGTATTATATTTGATAATGAAGCCTCCTGTCTTCTCCAATCAAGACAGAAAAAGTAAGTCAGAGCAGAGGAAACTGGCTCAGCACAACATGGCAGCCTCGGTAAAGGAAAGTCAGAGCCATTAGCTATTGACTGTTATAGAAACACTGAAACTGCAGCAGGGATTTCTTTTTTTTTCATTGCTATTTAGGGATTTAAATGAGATTTTTAAAAAAGAAAGAAAGA